CAAGAAGAACATTTGCCAGTTTAAGCTCACACACACTAGCCTGCTTATAAATAGCCACACTTACACACACAGACTCATAGCTTGTTTTCATTCATTTACTCGCCGATCCATTCAATACCAACACACACACACAAAGTCGCAAGTATTCCCATTTGCGGCATCAACGTCGTCGCCGTCGTCGTCACTTTTGCTTTGCTTGTCCTTGAACTTGACCCAGCGGAACTTTTTTTTATTGTTATTATTATACAAGCGTGCACTATAATTATTAAATTGTGGCATATACTTACATATGAGTGTGTGTTATCAGCTCACTTCACAGATTCTACGCATAAAAAGCTTGTGTGCGATTCAGGCCACTTATTCTTGCTGTGCCTCTCATTGTTGTTATTATTGTAACAAATGCGTGTGTGTGTCTGTATAGTATATAATACTCTCGTATATGTGTATGTAATTGGCATTAATCTCAATTCATTCACGGATTTTAGTTTTGTTTTAAACATACATAATATTTTCTATTTATATGCACACTCAATGAACCTTTGTTGATAATATTAGCAAGCGCCGGGCGTGAAAGTCCAATAAAATGCATAGAATACGAGTATATGTTTGTATAATATTTTGAATGACTTTTTGACTGCAATTATCTGATTATGTATAAAGAATATAGCTTTATCAGCTAAATTGCAAAAGGAAGTGCTTTATGTCAAGACAAAGTACACAAAATAATTCAAAATTTGCAATCGAATGTCGAGAGTATTGGGTTCCAGGGGAAAAAAGAAGCTCCTCAAGAAGTATAAATGGAAGATAAGATAGTACGGAAGGAGTAAGAGATATAGATCGCAGTTGACCGTTGATAAATACGACTTTGTTGTACGATACAGTAAAGATAACTTGTTAGTTCATGATCTTAAACTTGTCCTTGGACTTTGGAGAGAAAATTTTAAACGTCTGATTGAAAGTGGCTGGGCAATTAGCATATTCCAATGGGGAGTCGTATAACCTCATTATAAGGTCTTTTAAAAGACATACTCGTATATAAAATTGGTCTTTACACAATAACTTTAAATATGTATTATTTTTACTTTTATATACAATGCGACATATTAAAATCCCAGAATCCTTTTACCAATCCCTGATGGGACTCGAGAAGCTAATTATTGTTATTTAATTTTTTAATATATGTATGTATATTAAATTTTGATACAGTAAGTAAGTATCTTTAGGACAACTTTTACATTTATTTATTAGGGCGAATAGAATTTATATTAAAAGCTCCATACGTTAGAATGTATTATAATAAAAAGTCTAAAAGAAACTACCTGGAAATATTCAAATATGCACAAATACTAAAGTACAGTCTCCGTCTCAGCTATTTATTCCTTTTAATCTATGATCTATGAAAATCAATATCTTGCTTACATTATGGATAGGCACCAGAAGACCAAATTGTAACTCTTAAAGTAATTCAATATCAGTAAATTCAAATCTTGATCCAGAGATAATGGAGCAAAAAACAGTGTGTTGGTATTAACACGAACAATTTGGCTTAGTAACTTCCATCTCTAATGCACCCACATTTCATAACTAATTAGTAATTACTGATATGCAGAGTTATTCACAGACAGAGTAAATAAAAAGCTGAATGCTGAATGCAGCTTATCTATGCTGGGGAACACGTGCACCTACCCGCACCTACATATTACGAAATGTTCATACAATGTGCCAATTGCAAATAAAGCTAAATAAAATAAAATAAAATAAAATGCATATAAAATAGACTAGAAAAATGCAGTGCGCTGAAATTGTAGACAAAGCAAACATTACAGCCATCCGACGGACAGGTATGTAATATGAGAAGAGCGCCGACAACGCGTCGTACGTCGTTGCTATTTATGACAACAAAAGCGCCCTAAGTTGAGGCCCAGTCGCAAGCCAATTGAATTGAAATATTTGACCTATGCAAAAATGATATCTGGGCAATATTTTGTGCTTATGCGGCAGCGCCACAATGAACGAAAGTCTGGGAACTGCATGAAAACGCAATAACAACAAAATGTTGCAAACATCGAGCGATGACAGCGACACTCAAAACTGCAACGACATCGGCAACAACACATAATTAAAGCCAAAGTCAAAACCTAGATCTACATAGTCTAGAGTCTAGACTCATCTGAGCATACCATTTGTTTTCTTTTTCTTTTGCGCTTGTGTGCTGTTATTGCTATTACGTTAGTCAGACGTGCTCCCATTTCCTCTCACATTTGCGTTTCGCGTTTTCAACAAACTTTCATTTCTAGATGTTCCGATATGTTTCAGTTTCAATTTGTTTTAAGAGTGAGCTACCAGCACGTACAAGCTCTTAACGTTTTCAGAACTTGTAAAGATGTTCCGATGTAATTCAATTCCAACTCGTTTTTACACGTACAAGCTCCTTATGTTTTCAAATCATTTTTAAAGTTACGAAATCTTTCTTTATGTTTTCAAAACTTTATAAAGTTAGGAAATCTTTCTGAATCTGAAATTAACAATAGCAGTAAGAGGGCCTCTAGCCCGTATAGAGTCAAACAATGAATTTATTTCTACGTGTTCTGATATGTTTCTATTCCAACATGTTCCTAGAGTAAGTTTCCAGCAAAAAAGACAACTCACGTTTTCGTTACATTTTCCAGGAACGGATTTTGCAAACTGAAACGAGACACTTGTGTTAAAAAAATCAATAGCAGTAAACGGACGTACTTTATAGTTCAGTTTTTTCAAATGCTCATCAGAAATTTCCCCCATCAAATCTGAGGCAATAATGGAATTGGCAGTGAAACATATACGCAGACACTTTTGATCGGATTCTTTAATTGTTCAAATAATCTCAAACCTCAAACTTAATTTATAGATTATTGATGTTGTTAGCACACGAAAATAAAATCGCGATGGGAAAAGTAAATCGACAAATATTTGCGATTGCGAAAATGATTACACAACTGACTGTCTTCCATTATTGTTGCTGATGACGCATGCAAAGTTCGAGTCTATTCCATGGCCTGAGCTCCACTTCTAATAAATGCGGAAATGCATTGGCCAGTAAATTGATTTCAATTTCTATTATTGTTGTTAGTGTTGTAATGGCTTCTATTTGCATAGAGCGTCTGCTATTTTTTAACATCAATTAATAAATGGAATTGTTTTGAATTGTTGCATTTGAAGTTTGTGGTCATGCCAAAGAAATAAATTCCCAAGACGGCTTGGGAAATTATCGAAATTATCATTGCAACCTAAATTCAAGCTGGTGGATAGCATTCTTTGCATTTTCCCGTCTTCTTTTAATATGTGTTGGAAATGTAAATTTGTAGGACTTCACTAGACGTTGTTAAGTTTGGATATAGCTTACCAATTTTGAGAGAATTTATATATTCTAATCCACTTATCAATTCTTTTGATGATATCGTCGTTACTAATTCCACTTGCACCCATTTCCAAAACTCCTTTTGATATACCAGAATTAACAAGTTATGCAACCTTCATTGAACTTTAATTTGAAACACAGTCCAATTCTTAGCTGCTATTGTCTAGCAAGATTTTTCAGCGAGCGCAGAAGTTTTTTTTGCTGAAAACGAAGTAATATAATAATTGTTGTGTTTCCTGATATTTGATAAATTCTGGCTAGAAACAGACCAAGCCACTATAAACACGGAGTTTTTGATAATTCGAGTGTCAAGCGTTTGCTTAAAAGGAAAAAGCACCCATGGTTACAATTTCATTAGATATTAGATTGTCTTAAAATTATAGTTTCTTTATAGCAATAAAACGTTATCTAATAGTACCTCAAAAGTATTCAACAGTTTTTGCTCCCTTAAAAATATTACCATACCTTCCAAATACATTGTCATATTTTAATAGATTTTTAGAATAGGCGTTTTAAATTAATTATAGAAACCTTTAGATTCTTGAGTGTCCACAATCGAAAAGGGAAGCCTAAAAGTATGCTCTTTTTAATTTAAATTCCATTCATTTATTTAGAAGAGTTCGGAACTTTGTCCTTTGACGTATTAGAATAGTGCATTTCGCTCTAAACTATTGATTTATTTATTATTTCGAACCATAGTTTCAATTTAATTGTCAATAATTGTCTCAAGAAATATAGTAACTTTAGTGTTTTTATTTGAGGGGCTCAGGAACATTTATGTAAATTATATTTATTGTTTGCTTATTTGCTCAACAGCCTAATATTTCTTTTAACTTGCACATTCAACAAAATATTAGATCGTATTGTCTTTTGTTGGAACTGAAAGTTTGAAAATGTGTAACATTTTTATGTTGACTTTATGTTAATCTTTACCAGCATTAACATAACTCTGTAACGTTACAGTGCGCGTAACAGCAAATAAGCGTAACAGGCGTTTGACTGCTAACAGCGTACAGTTTGGCAATACACTGTCATCCGCAGATATTACATACAGTTTAGTGTTTACAGTGATGGTAGTGGCTGGTGTGTATCTTGGCTAAGTGGCAACTGCATGTGGATTGTGTCTGCGTATTAAAAATTGTGAAAAACTGTTTATACTATTTTTAATTGTTCTAAATAAATAAAAGCAAAATTTAAAAAGTGCATTTATAATTAATTGCAAAATACAAAGATGTTCATTTCCTTTTAGTATTTAGTAGTGATGATCAGTTTGATGATGTGTTTGCTTCAGCAGCTTCGAAATATTACGCGTCTACCTACATTTGTTGTTAGTTTTGAACACGTTTCAAAAATGTGCTGTACTCTTGCAAACGGGGCTCTCTCTCTCACTCGCAGTGTCTCTGTCTATGGCTGGCGGCTCTCAGTGGTGCTGTGGCTGCGACTGAGTCTGAGACTGGGGCTGGGGCTGGCTTGGCGGGCTTCCACAATTTGAGTTTGTGGGACGTTACAACAGTTGACGTTGGCGTGTCGTGTGTTTCAGTACGTTTCGAAAAACTTAACGCTTGAACATAGATTTTTGAAAACAAAACAAAAAAAACTTGTCGCGCTTTAGATTCAGTTTGTGTCTTAAGTTCTGTACATTTGTGTGTGTGTTTTTGTGTTCATTTGAAAAGTAGCACTAAACTAATTCTAATCCAACAACAATAATTGGCTGCACTTTCTGCACCCACTACTAAGTATTCATTCAGCAACGAAATGTACGCATAGTTCAATGTTTCGTAATTCTATGATAAACAGTTTCTAACCTGAAACCAGTTTTTCTCACTAAGCTCGCAAATGAAACTAAATGGTTAATACACGTACAAACATATATACAAACCTAAAATCGAGTCAACAATTTTTTTAATGTAGCGCACAAAATTTAACAAACAATTAGTTAGCAATGCAACAAAATAATCTCTAATAACAGAAGCAAGGCGTGTACTGAGATCCAAAACAGACCCAAATGAAAACGCTCAACGACTCCAGAGACTGAGTTTAAAACTGAGACTGTGACTGTGACTGCGACTGAGTCGGAAGCTGAGTCTGCATCTGAGTCTGAGGCTGAGTCTGAGGCTGAGTCTGAGTCTGTGCCCCACCCCAACTAATTTGTGGTGCTGTTAGTTATGTGTTTAAGTACAGCAACATCAGCAGAGAGCACTCTTCTTGTTTTCATTTGTTCGATGCCAATTTGCATATTGTTTACACTGGCTAACAATTGTTTATTTGTTTTGATGATTCATGCCAGCTTACCGTGCCAAGGGAGCAAGTGACTGACCTTCAGTTAGTGGAAGTTTGTTGTGCGTGTTGGAGTGGGTGTGGGTGTGGGTGTGGATGTGGGTGCCATATCCTGACAGTTGCTTTGGCATTGAAAATCGCCAAGCTACCTAGGCAACCAACCCCTCAAACCATCCCCACCAGTCAACGTCAAGCTCACTGACTTCCCGACATACAAGTATAGTACAAGGCCAGGAAAAACAACAGCCAGCCAGTTGCTTGTGTTGGTTAAAGTAATAGCTAGACCTGGCGGTTAGGTCGGCTAGTGGGTGGCTCGAAGCTAGATTGTGGCGCTGTGTCTGTCTTAATAAAAACAATAGCATGTACTTTTTTGAAATAAACACTTGCTTGCCCTTTTTGAGGCGCAATTTCCCAGTACGAGTAGTGCGAGTACAGTAGGCGCCACACAAATCGTATGGATGGTGTTTAGAAAATCAGTTAGCAAGCCAGTTTGGCGAACGCCAAGCTACCAGTTCTGCATATGAATGCAATAAGATGCCATATAGGTACAACAAGCCAACACTACAGCAGAAAAGTATTTTCATTTTCTACACTTACAAATTATTCGCATGTACATTTATGCAATTTTAAAAGTTCGCCATATTTTAGTACAGAACTATTCTTTGTTTTTTACCAAATTCTGTAGTTCGACAGATATTGGCAGTTGCTTCGACGGATTTGTGTCCAAATTATTTGATCTAAGCAAACACTCAAAATATTTTCAAAGATTTTGAAACACAGTGGAACAATAAAAAATATTATGGATAGAAACGTTAGTGAAACTATTCTGTACTGAGGGAAATGTATCATTATATTTCTTAAACTTTAAAAATTGATGTGCAAATATCTGAACATTTCTTTAGCAAATTCAAAAAATATGTTGATGAATTTTGAAAGGGTGAATTTTGAAAGGCAAATACTAACAACATGCTGATGAATTTTTAAAGGAAAACATTGTGGAACGGAATGAAATGGATTGTTACTGAAACTTTTCAACACTAAGAAAATTAAAATTGAGTCTACGGTTTCTTGTCCGATAAATTCCTTAACAGATGTATTTTAAGTAAATAGCATACTTGCAATATTTAAGAAATTTTTACACAAATTATTTGCCTGTCTGGCCGTAAGTTACTGATACAAGTATTGCGAAGTTGGTTTTCTATAAAATTTATGATTTTAGCAGAGACCGCAAATAATGATTATTATTATTTTTTTTTTTTTTATTGTTATTTTATTTTTTTATATCAAACAATTATTTACTAATAGTAACTTTGAGAAAGCGATTATCTATGCATTTTCACTATGATTCATGTATAAATTTTGATTTTTATTCAGTCGCTCACGATTTAATGAATAATTTTTAGTTTTACTTTAAAAATTAACCATAATCATTATTGATGAGCAAAAAAAAAAAAATTTTTTTTTTTGAGTTAAATTTTATTTTTTTGATCAAATGAATAAAATTAAAAAATATTCATTATTTTGAAATTTTTTAATAACACTTATAGTGATTACAGTCGTTGATTTAATTAAATGTTGTATTATCAAAATACTTCTGACTCCCTCTGTACATTGATGACGCCATCAGTAGCTGCAGAGAGTTGTGGAAGTGAGGGGAAAGCGTTTCAGCATTTATGTTTATTACGCTGCCAAACGAGTTTTGTTGCGTTTTTCAATTGGTATTCATAGAGCTGGTAGTTTTTTGTTTTGTTTTGTTTTTGTTCTTCTCAACTGCGTCTCGGCTCTGCATTTATAACTCAATGCATGCATTGAGATGAAGATTGTGGGCTTCGCCAGGAAATTGTAAATGAGATTTAATTACGCTTATTAAAAATGCAGAATGTGAAGTGCTTGAAAAAAGAGATGCGATCAACATCTTTAAGGGCACTGTTGGGCATATGTATGTAATTTTTCGTATTCAGATATGAAAACAAGGATAGCAAAACAAAAACGAGAGCAAAACAAAGTGTGGCAAGAAGAACGAACGCCTCGCAACATATCGTATATAAACCACGAGTCATTGAACTCGGAACGAACCCAGACAGAGACCAGTTATAAGGCTGCCCAAGATGCCAACACACACAGAGACACCCATTTGGCACTACATTGCAACGCATTTATGTTAAAACTTATGCCAAGGAGGCGCGCACAGCACATAAAACGAAATGAGGTTAAAGCACAGTGCTGGCGAAAACAATGTGCACAGCTACTGCGAAAAGTCGAATGCAGGCTTTTGGGTGTGCGAGCAAAAACAGGTGTGGCAAGGGCCCAAGCGCGTTTGGTCTCTATCTCTCTCCAGCTGCTCCCATTCTCTCTCTCTCCGTCTCTCGCTACGACTCTCTCGCTCTCTTTTTAGCTGGCTGTGCGCCAAACCCGTTTAACTTGTTAAACGCACGCTGCGCCCGCGCTTTCCAAACCTTTAAGTAGTTTGTTTACATTTTTTTCGGTTCACATTTTTCCTTTTCGCCTTCTTATTTTCCTTCGTTTTGTTTTTGGCTTTCTTCTAAGCGCAACTTGTTTGGCTCACAGCCACATATTTTCGTTGTTTTTGCTGTAGCCGCATGCGTATTTGCCGTTAAACGCGCACAACGTGGGGCGCTTGTTAGCAACAACACGCAAAGTGCCTCAGTCCCCGAAAAGCGAAAAAAGAAGAGTAAATAATAATAATGCCCATAAATACACGCATAGCTAGAAAATTAGTTAACGTTAACGCCAATTTTGTGGGCTGCTCGCTTTAATAGTCTCAGGTTCATAATAAACACACCTGCCAAAGGGTATTTGCGAAGCAGTTTATTGTTTGTAACGCATTCGACACCCAACTAGATGTAATTATCTATCCGACCTATGAATCAATGTGAATCAAATACCAAGGTTGAATAAAAGTTACAACATTTTACCAATAATAAGAAACAAAGTATTAGTAAACCAATCTTCAAACTAATCTCCAACAACTTGGGTCAAATGGCGGTTCACCGAAATAATCTAACCTACGTAATCCACTAAAGACTGAAATACTTAATTCCGAAACTCCAATAACTCCAGCTACTTCGTTTCGCATTGCTCTGAAAATGAACTTATGATACTTATGATCAAAAAAATATCAATCTAAATATAAAATATTTAATTATTATAATGGTAAATAAGAGATTTAAAACAACATTTATAATTCTAGTGATAGATTAAATTTAGCACATATCTCCTAGCCCTTTTTTCCCTTTTCGAATATTAGGTTATGTCAGGTTATTAAAAAAATTGTTTACAACATGATTTAAAAAGCAGTAGGTTTTCTGACACTTTATTCACTTTATTCTCGCCGATTTTTATTCGTAATAATATAAAAATATTATATTTATTAGCATTAGCTGTAGCGGATGTACAGCGAGATACTCGTATAATAAAAAAAAAAACATATTTTAGTGCAAAGTTAAGCGAATAACTAAACTATACTATACTATAAACTACATCCATATTAACAGGAAACTGGAAAAAACTGTGATAGAAAAAGTGCTTGAGGTTTAAGCGAAAAAATCAAGTTCGACTTAAAAAAAACATCATTCCAATAAACCATTTTTTTATTATTTTAATTATTTTTATTTTATCGTCCAACTTAAGTTTTTAACAACCGTTTATTTATATACAAGTATATATATATATTTTTATAGCCTGTACCCAAAGGGTGAAAGGCTATACTAGTTTTGTGCGCATGTATGTAACACACAGAAGGAGGCGTGGCAGACCCCACAAAGTATATATATTCTTGATCAGGATGAGAAGACGAGTCGATATAGCCATGTCCGTCTGTCCGTCTGTCCGTCTGTCCGTCTGACCGTCTGTCCGTCTGACCGTCTGTCCGTCTGTCTGTATGAGCGCAAGGATCTCAGTAAGTACAAGAGCTAGGATAACCAAAATTGGTATCAAGGTTCCTATAAGCCCTAGGCAGAACGAGTTTGTTTATTTTTTCTGATACACCCCCCCCACTCCCCCGCAATTCGTATTTTTTCTTATAACTTCCGTAATTCTCGGAATTTAAAAATCAATTTTGGTAGGTACATCCAGTTAGTACTAATGTGTCCGTGTGCCAAATTTCATCATGATAGGTCAATTCTGAAGAAAGTTATAGCCATAAGTAAAATCGCTGCTCATGCGCTGCCTGCAGCTCTGTCGGCAGCGCTGCCCGCAGCTGTTGTTGTTGCTGCTTTTGTTCAACTTTGTGCTGCATACATACACGCATATAAACACGCATAGGTACGTGATGTAAATGTGTGCTGTTAAAACTGAACATAAACATGTATTCTAATTTAATTTAATTCATTATTTTAATTAATTAATTCATTCATTTTTTTTAATAATTTATTTTTTTTTTAAATTTTTTTTTTTTTAATTTTTCCTTTTTGTGGAGAGTACAGGCTATTTTACTGTCGGGCTTGCTCGACTGTAGCGTTCTATCTTGTTAACTAGCAGATAAGTTGGAAAAAGTACAAGATCTTCGGCGTTCTGTTTATGCCTTAATTTCCTATCTTTTTTACTTGCCATGAAAGCGTCATTTGCTTTCAGTCTCAACTGACCCTAGACATTGAAATGTTTATTACCAATAGTTTTTTTCTGTTCACTTAACTGCCAGTCACGCCCTTTCGTTAAGGTTTGTGTGGGTTTACTGCTTGTAGCCTACTGTTGCCTTAACCCCCACTTCGAAGCACACATTGGCAGCGAAAGTTTCGTGCTTTTAATTGTTGATGAAGTTATAGGCTGGGGGTTATGGGGGTTAACGATGCACTGTATTTTGTACGTGACTTTATTGCATTTTTATGCTCTGTCCCCCTCTCTCTCCCTCCCTCTCTCTCACTCTCTTTTGTAATGCAATTAATTTTAATCAATGCCTAAAGGGCATAAATGAATCGACTGTTTGGTCATTTTTGTTGTTGTTTTATTTTTTGTGCTTTGAACAATGGATATGACGCTATATCGGCCGAGGTGTCAGCTGGTCGTATCATTGTTTTCGTTGTATCGGGCGTTATTGATAGAGTTAGTATAAATAATGCTATTGCATGGGGGGCTGTGAGAAAATGTTTTCAACGCGTTTTCGCGCATCAACGCTTACGTCAGTGAAGCAGCTCACTCAGTCGAATGTGAATCAGGGCATAAATATCCAGATATATGTACACACACACTATATGCACACATCAGCTTATACAATAATACCAATAGATATACACAATATGCTTAATCGTTCTTTTATTGATATTAGGTGGAAAGAATGTTATTCCTAGAAATATTATCCCGTTCTCTACTCTTCTCTTAAATTATATGAGTGAACATTTTTCGAGGCAAACTTCGATGAATATGTACTATACTCATACTATATTGGAAGCACATTAAATCTTAGAATTGTAAAATTATTCCAAGAATAGTTATTCATTTCAAATGATTAAGTCTTATTTTTAGATAAATCTCGATAATTGAGTTTGCAGGCCCGTCATTGTTTGTTTTTTATATACCCTTTTTATCATTATGAACTCTCAAGCTTTTAGGGACGAGACAGGTTATTTGGGTCTATATAAATAAGCCTTATTTTTTCGTACAGTTATCTGTAGTTATACACTATATATAAATTTGTTCGCTAGTGCTTGGGCAGGTTAAGAGAAAACTATTTTTTGATCGACTTAAACATGTGGCTTTTTATATTGCAGACAAGTCTTGAAGAATCAAAGTGTTGTAGAAAATACAACGAATTTTAGTATTATGTTTAAGTAAATGATGGAAATTGTGGCAAGATAACTTACTAAGTGGCCAAAAGTTTATAGTTAAGGCTTATAAACATTCATGTAAGAAAATATGAGAAAGATTAATTCCACATATGTAATAACCTAAAATAAGAAAGAATTAGTTTAAATTAGACCACTGCCTTCCATTGATGTTAAATTTATTATTTATTTATTAATTTAATTTTATGCTAATTTGTAACACGTAGAGCTTTAATTTTGGGAAATTTCTTGAGTTTTTCTAATAGTGTATCGATTGATAAGATTGCTTGGGATTGGGATTTCAGATTGAGATGAAACCTCTTCGCAATACTAGTATCCCTGCCGACTTTGCATCGCACTTACAACAAACTATATAATTAGCTCAGTAGATTTTGAAGTATCTTGCAATCCCGAGGGTTTCTAATAGTTTCAGTTTTATGGAAATACTAAGATTTGTTATTTTTCTTCAAAAAATGAATAATGAAATAATTTAAACAATGCTAGCACTATATCTTTTTATGGAGAAGCGTCGGTTGATTACGAGCTCTTATAATTTTTTTAATTTATTGCACTTCAGCAACCATATATTTGTATGAAAATAATAATTTATATATAACTGCATATTTTCTTGATTGCTTCATTATAATTAGCTCTCCATGGTGAAGCAATTATCTTAATTCAATGAGACTTAAATACCACGTACTCCGTTCTTTTCAATTGCTTTGATATACAACAGAAACGTTCCTATCGTCAAAAACACGTTTGTGTTCATTTTGTTGATAACTCATATAGAGAAAAGTTCGAGATATAGTGGAGCTTTTCTATTTGTTTCCCAGCCATCATTAGCATTCTAAACAAGTGACACCTCATCCCAGCGTTCAATTTGTATGCTCGAGCAATATTGTGATTCACTTTAATTGAGCACGACCGAGAGACCGCACCCATCCTTATGACATAACAATTATCTGACTAAGGTATTCGAATGGTTACTAAAACAAAGCGAACTCGGCAGACTTGGCATTTAGAAGTCTGTGCCACTAACCAACATTTTTGAAGAGCTGCGCTCAAAAGTCTAACCTTCAGAGCCAATTGAAACAAAACGCATTGCGTGGTTCTTCGCACGCCTCACTACACAGCCAGCCAATAACAATAATAATAGCAATTAAAATACTTAAAAAGGCGCGCTTACAAATCGAACAAATAGAACAACCAACAACAACAATTGTTATCTTTTATTGAAGGCAACGGAAAAGCATCCAATACTCTTTTCGAGCCTCCGCAAGATTAGTGAAAACAAAAACAACAAAAACAAATAAAAAATGAGCTACTTGAGCTCTATAGGTAGCGTATACCAAACCATTCAATCATTCATTTGACGAGCTTGGCGAGCGATTTAATTCCTCAAATTGTTTAATTAACGTTTAATTTTGTGGCAGAAATCTCGAGAGTCGAAATGTCGCCGGCGGATGACAATTCCTTTGCAACAACGAATGGCAACAAGAAGGCCACCTACACTATAATTACCATCAAAGTGGTAGAATTGGTAAGTCCCTCGAATCGATCTATATATGTACATATCTACTTACAAGAGTTGTGACTTCGAATGTATTTTGAAAACATCTATTTTCAATGAAATTTATGTGCTACCCACAAGTACGACCGGGGCCTTCAAAAGGTTTTGGATATAACTCAATATATTTAAGTCTCGTGTTTATTTGAACACAAGTCCCTCAATTTTTAAATTTCAATCCGCCATGATGTGAATTTATACTAGCAAACAAAATGTGTAAATAGTTGATCTGTCATCAGATATACGAGTATTAATCAGTTATTCTTTTGCCAGATCTATAATGGAACAAAAAGTGAATTTTCATTCCACATGAATGTGGTTTTCGGCCTATTATGCCCGAAGGGAAATCGTGTTCCATTGTTCAAACGTGTAATAAAATGTTTCCAATTTAAATGCCGTTTGAAATTTAAATGATAATTTGAATAATTCAATTTATTTTGCGTTTGATAAATCCACTTTATTTTGATCAACTGAAATCAAAGAGAACACTACGATTGTACAATAATTATAATAAATATTGAAGTTCACTATTCATATTCATAATAATTTATAATGGCATATTTTCATAAATAAAATCAATGAATCAAAAATAAAAAACAGTGAAAATTTATTATTTGGCAAGTAATTTCCATCGTTCCAATAATTGCCAAATTATTCCCATAGCAATTAATCTTTGAATGGAAATGGAACACCATCAAAATTAGGAATAGCATACTTTTGAGAGTACAGTTCACGAAAACTTTAATTAAAAGAAAAATATATATAGATTATTTACAAAAAAAAAAACGGAATAAAATTATTCTTGCTGTGTACATTTTTACATTTAATTGGCTTTTATTTTGATTTATGATGAATGGAATTTGTTTAAACTTCTATAATCCTACCTTCTTAACATAATGATGATTTCATTTAATTTTTTATTAAAATTAAAAAAAATTCAAATCTATTATATTTCTCAAAAAGCGATTGTTACAATTTTTGAAATATTTTTTAAATTCTCTGCTTCAATTGGCATAATGGCCTGTAATAGAAACTTTCTAGTACCGTTAAACAAAATTGTATTCCTAGAAAAAGTAGAAGCTGTAGCCTAATTGAAAACCAAGCCTTTGAACCTATAACTGAGCCAACAACACAACTCTATGAGTAGTACATTCAATTCATTAAACAAATGATATACATATTTAATAACTTGTTGTGTAATCGACAGTGCTTGCTCATCTGCTGCTTGGGCCTCATCGATGAGCCGGCCACCAACTCACAGCTGCGGGTCTTCATCACCCCGCGTGTCACGGCGCTGTGTTATGTGACCTTTGGCGCATTAGCCATCTATACAGCCATTTATTTAATTATGGCGCTCTTTGGCGATCTGTGCGTATACTTGTTGTAGAATTATTGAATTGAAATGTGTAACTGAATTGATAATATAAATGGATTTTGCAGAACGCCTTGGCGCACAGCCACGCTCTGGTCACTGATTGGCTTTGTGCTCTTTGTGGCTGTCACTGCCCTGCTCTTCCGGGACTGGTCCACCACCAAGGATCGCAATTACTGGCACCCGAACATGCATCGTCTGGATCTGGTTATGGCCGCGGCATCTATCTCGTTGGTCACTGCTTTGGTTTATCTGCTCGATGTCCTGCTGACCATTCGCTTTGGCGTCCACGGCGATCTCGAATGACAGCGCTGGTAGATATAAGCGTGTGGCGCGAACAGAGTGCGAATAGCTGTAATATTTACAGTTTAGTGTTAAGCATAATTGGGTAATTTTAACAATTGTTCATCAGCACATGCAAATTTTTCTACGAAAATCAAATCATCATAATTGCCATGTTGGAAAAAACGAAGAGGAAAATGTACAAAAAATCAAAAAAGTTTTAACAAATGTTTTTTTTTAATGTTATTTAACAAACATTTTGTCCAATTACTTACGCGCATAAGCAATTAATAAAAGTTTTGTAACAATTAAACAAGTATTTTACAATTATGATGTGTGTAAAGCAGAATGCTTACCACCTTCTTTGAGATATTCCAACCTCTACGCGAATTATACCTTCCTGGACCTGGGAACTGATTTCTTTCAGGGAGATGTATTCTCTATTACTACCACTTCTCTCGCATAACAATAATTATTATAAGAGTTTTATATTTACATCAGCTTTGAATGTGCAGAATGAAATGAGATTTTCTAGATCTTGTACACATCAGATATCTACATGCAGGGATACTTTAAGAGGCATTTCGACGACTTCACCTCTAAAATATATTTTTTCTAATAATAATAAAGCTGCAAAATGAATCGATTCTGAAACAATTAATTCCATCTAATTCGACAATTAAGTTTAATCTTTTACTTGAAAAGATTATTTGATTATATTTTTCAAAAAACGCAACAAAAAATGTTGAAAGATCGATTTCTACTACTAGTACTACGGTCGATTGTTGCATCGATTATTCCTATGATAGCTATATTATGAGGCACCATACACAACTCATACATTTAAGTTAAGGAAAGTTTTGGAATTTGCAACCTAATATTTGAATGTAAAGAATACCTTACCATATTTACTAAAAGAGACATACTTTAGTATTAGCACGACTGAAGATCTGATCAAATAGTCCACAATAAACACTCAAAAGGGATAATAAATCGTTGTGACAATTCAGGGGCATCAACTGTAATACAATTTTTTCTGTGAATGAATAAGAATAGTCTACATTTATAAGTTTGGTGACCCTAACTGTAATGCTTCAAAACTTCTTGATGTTCATATGGGCACAAGACTACTATACTTATATTACTTCACACTCTCCTAATGATTCTGCCTGTTACATATATTTGGCACTTCCGATTTCTAATTGTAGTATTGCCTTCTCCAAACAAATAATTTCAAATGATTAGTGCAGACAAGTTTCCAACTTTATTAACAAAATCAAGCTCAAGTGAGTTCCTAAGTTGACTAATAGTTTCAAACTGAATTTAGAACGATAATTGAATTGAATAATACATTTGATTAAAATTAATTGGGTTCATAATTGGGAAATTAATTACTCACTATTAATATCAAGAATTATTAAAAAGTTTTAAAAATTTTAATGATAATATTGAGATATGTTTTTAATATTTCTATAATCAGAGGATCGTTATTTTGTATAATATTTAAAATTTCATTTATTTAACAATCGGCCAATCATATCAGATTATTTAAGTAGACAAAAAATCAATTAATTTCTTATAAAAAACGCAAATTGGATGCGAAAGTATTATTCTTAGAAGACTGATCGTTTTAATGTTATTAAACGTAACGTCGCATGGGAAGTTTTTCCATTGGAAGAATCGGAGTTCCGCAACGGCCCCTGAGCATTTCACGATAGGGATGATGATGATCATCATCATCACTATTATCATCACTTAAACTATCGCTGGCTGATTCTTCAGCCCCGCCCAGAGTTAACTCCTCCATCATACAATCTGGTTGGGTTTCGGACATGCATTCATTGTAAGCATTAAATCCGGCATAATTTTCATAGTTTCCAGCATCGTTATATGCTGTTAGAATAAGTTCTTCATAGGGATGTCGTCGATTACTCTCGATGACCAAATGTAATGGCGTGGAACCGTAGCCCAAGGTGCGCACCTCACAGGCATTAACGTTTAATTTCTGGTAGCATTTAAGTAACCATTTGAAACTTTCCAGCTTGTTGTTAACAATTGCCGAATGCAGGGGGTTATTTCCTGATATATCCCAGACAGTCAGCACTTCCAGCATTTGCTTCGTGGTCAGACTTTTCATGATTGTCTCCAACAATGCAACCTTCTGATTATCAACGGCAATATGTAGAAAAGTTTCCCCTCTATTTTTTTGCAATGTCAGATCATAGACGGCACAACTCGATATCAGCCAGGCAGCATCTTCATCGCTATGGCCAGCAGTAGATGCCAGGATATGAAGAACTGTAGCATTCCTGCCATCTTTCAGAAGTGCCAGATACTTAAGAAATGCATCTTTGTTTTCTATGGAAGTAGCTGCCTGTCGTATATACTTCAATAGCCCCAGTTTTAGAGCCTCATGAAATATGGAAGTACTCCCAGTGCCCAGCCAGTACAAGTACCCTGTAATAGAGAAAAGAAAATCAATTGCATCAATTGTTTTTCCATCACAAAAAACACAAATTTCAAAACTGTGCTGAGAAGAATATAAATAGCAGGTTTGCTAAGTCTAGCTTTTTTAGTTGCCAAGATCCTTGAGTTCACACGGACGGATGGACAGCGTTGTACCCCGTGGAAACAGGATATTTCAAATAAAACTAACTTTTTATAATAATACCTTTAAAAAGTTCGCTTTTTACGATTACTTAGATAATTAAATTGATTAAGGAACGCACTAAGTACTACTTGTATATTATATTTATGTTTTCGTAATGTAACTTGAAACAAGCAAATGGGCTCTTCCGCTGTTCAATATCTACTTCGCGATTCGAACACTTATATATTTTATATGTGTTTACGAAACCACATTTTTTTTTACCAATTTTCAATGCAGAATGTTTGGAATACGCGATGCCATAATATAAATCAAATACTTTTAATTGTTGTTTATAATTTACTCACGTTCGTTGATGCGGACAGCTTCCTCCAAGCTTTTTGCATTGCGTATGTAATTTAGACCCAGGCAGACCATTATCTGGTTGTTTCTGAATGTACGATCCGGACCATGATTTTGTGCAATATCCGAACTTGCATGTGCCTCTTGACTGCCGCTTGGTCGAGAATCCATGTTAAAAAAATCACTGCCACTCATATTTAAAATGTCGTGCATATTTGCATCATCCTCCATGAGCTCTAATATATTAAATTGATCTCTATCTTGATCGTCGCCTTCATTACAATAAAATGCAAAATCTTCCGCTGCATCTTCGGGTGCTACAGCATATCTGGCATAGACAACGTCCACTGTCTGTATTTCTGTAGAGTCATCTGCATCATATAGTATGAGCTTGCAGTTCACAGATGTCCTTTGTTTCTCCGTATCTGTGGCGTCGTATTTAGGTGTTGGGTATATAAGCACTTTATGCAGCTCTTTCAATGTTCGTGTTTTAACAATGGGTGATATAAGATGTGTGGTCCATTGGCCATCATCACGACGTATTTCTATTTTATAATCATGTTGTACATCGGAAAGTAGGAGATGCATATTAATGCCACCCTCGAAAGGCAACTGAGGATTGCAGCAAATATTTAAGGATCTCTTGTCATTCCCATTGTATATGCTGTGCGAGATCAGACTCTCCGCAATCTGCTTAAAGCCACTCTTCCCTTTCTCGAAAGCCGTAAAAGCCAAATAGATCTATTAATTAAAACGAAAGCATTTTCTTAAAATCAAATCAGAGTATTATGTAAATGTAACTTTGGAATATCTCTAGGCGTTTCAAAATATTTTATTGGAGCACAATAACTATCACACTTGTCCGTATTTACGAATACTTACACGCTCGTGCTTTTTAAAATCTTTGGTGGCCTGGCTTAGTGAGGGCAGACCGAACAGGCCTTTTTGTTTTACCCGTGGTTCCATTCGCTGCAAAACCATAGCTAAATCATCCTTTTTGGTCTTGGCAATAAAAAAATTTTCCATTGAGAACTCAAACTGATTTTTTGAGCTTTCGCAGCGCACCATAGGTTCACGGATGGGCTCATAATTCAGGTGGTAGGGTTCTGTACGTTTTTGCAAAGTATTTGGCGATACCATATAATGGTCGCCATATTTTCTAACAACTTGACACACAATCTCAATTGGGTCGTTCGGTATTTCCTTCATGATTAATCGTACTGTCGGCCAATTCTTTCCATTAACATTTTCTTCTGATAATAAGACTTTACTAACTCTATCGCTAAGATAACGAAAATCGTAATGCTTCGCCGGCTGCGCTATGAACTCCAAACGACCTGAACATGGAACACGTGTTGATGGAAGAGGCAGAGGCTTATTATGAACTTTTTTATTCATATTAAAGTAGTAGTATATATATTATATATTTTCGTGTTTAAGTTAAAAATCACAGATTAAGCACGTCTACGCTTCGCCACGATTCGCCACCGACTGAACGCAAATATTTTTTATACGCAACACCTAAGTGCTTCGAAAAACATACAGACATTGTATCAGCACAGTGTCGGGGATATATAATTTACAAAAGGAAACATTTTGTTACATTTTCTATACATATTTATTCTCATATATAAGCTTTTAATGACTTTGACCAGAAGAATACCTAGTTTTGAAGAAGGAAGATAAAAATGAAAGAGCCTTTGACCTGGTCAAATAACTCTTATTTCGTTTTAAAGTTGCGAAAAAACAGTTTTGAAAATGAAAACTCAAAGATGACAAGATGGTTATGAAAAACTCCATGGGCAATAATTTAATTTAATTAATTAATAATTTTGTTTTGTACAGATTCCCTTTCCACCTACGCCCATGGATATATGTACATATGTGTGTATGTATGCTCATGTGTACAAAGATAAGAACGTTAGCAATGAAAGCGATAAACGTAATAAAAACAAAACAGGGAAGTTCCCGCAAAATATTCCAAAAGCACAACGCTTTTTATGCTGCAAAATGTGCCCAAAAGGTAGGAGGGTATACCAAGGAGGTATGGCAGACCCCACAAAGTATGTATGTATCAGAGCCCAAAAAAAAACCATATTTTCCTTTTAAAAATGCATAATAAACTAACATAACAAAATATATATAAAAGAATATTTGTAAATAATATATATATTTTTTTTAAATATCTATTTAATTATTATAATAGGTTCGTGTACGGCCGTGCAACGAAAAATGTGCGCTGTGCATGCAATTTCTTCTGATCCATTGGTTTAACACAAGCCAGTTCCGATAGGTTAATGATTTTCTTGAAAATGAGCTGAAATTTAAAATTGGGACAGAATTTTACTTGTATGGTGTGAGAGAGCACTGAGTGGTGGGGAAATTGTATCCAAAAGTGAGATAATACCGCCATCAATAAGCGTCAAAACTTTACATCGAGTGTTATTCAGATAGAAATCAGATAGTTTTAGTGACATCGTGGTCAACTTCAAGATCTGTAGAGTGGTAACTGTACAGTGGATGACTATTCCAAGTAGTTGCAGCAATACAAAATGTGGGTTATATAAGTATGTACATACATACTTAAAGGTATGAAGGTACTTTATTCCCTTACATACATACCTTATTTATTTATTTCATCGACAAACAATGCAGTCGATGTACATACATAAAAGAAAAAAAGAAATATATTTATATAAGCAATACAATAGAGAACTTAAACTAAATAAAACTACAGAAATACAAAAGCCTAAAAATGACAAAAATATCTAATAACGAATCCGATACGGTGGGGGAATTATTTGCCAAACGGCCAGCTATGGCCCCGATTCACAGCAGAGTATAGGCATAAAATATAGAATAAAACAAATTAAAATACTTAAATAATAAAAGATAAAATATAATTAAAAATTAAAGGTGAAGAATCACTGACCCGTTGGGGGAAAATTTATTAGCCGGTCCGGCTAGCTATGCCCACAGGTTCTGCAGGAGGTAGCTGAAAATTGACGATTTTAGTGAGGGGAGAGATAGCTTGAGATTAAAAAGTATTATAATTAGCGCATAATACTCGAAAAGGATATGTACACATCATTTTCTGCCTCGATTCCTTTACCCTTGTGTTTCTATTTTTGATGAGACACCTAAGCTACAACAAAGCATAATAGGACCTAATAATGGTGGCTGTCCTTTCTAAATTAAAAATTCAATTGTTAATAGTAAGCCTTTTATTGTTGTCTACTATTAGGTGTAAGGTATATAAGAACACTGTCAAAAACCGTTTAACTTGCTAACCACGATTAATTTTCAGGTTATACATATTTCACTTCAAAGCACGTGCAAAATGTTTCTCAATATCATCATCGTTGGCGATCATTTCTAGGTTATGAAATGTTTCCTTAATGTAGCACTTTCCACCATCGCCAGCTGCTGTAAGCGAAATTCACTTCAATTATGAAAATATGTGATTGAAGAATTGCATTAAGACTTACCTAAAGTACCATCGCAAATGCGTTGGGTGAGCAGCTTGGCCAAGGCTTTGAACAACTCTCTGGTGGCAATCTTGCGCTTGTAGTAGGGATTGAGCCATTCCACTACCGATTTGCTCACATCGTTTTTCTGTTGATCTAGGGCCTTCGCTTTTTGCACCTGCCGCGAACTGGCTCCAATTTTTTGCTTGTGATGTTGCTCCATTATTTGCCGCGCCGTTGCGAAATCTCCTTTGGTATTTCCAGAAGCTTTGTGGTGTGGTTGCTTCTCTTTGTTGCTTGCCGCCTTCCTTAGAGCATCGTTCGAATGATCCGAGGGTTCCTTTGATACATCCAGCATTTGACGTGCCGTCATGAAACCCGCCATCGCTTGAGGCTCTGCAGTTTTTCTATGCGATTGCTGTGGCTTTTCCTGGCCAGCGAGCTCAATGGAATTGCTGTCTGTTAAGTCAGTGTCCTGCAAAAAGCAATATAGAAAAGTCAAATAAAAATGTTAACTGAACGTCAAAGAAGTAACAACAGGCAGTGCAAGAAGTACGAATTTAAACAAGCTTATAAAAAAGAAATATATTCACTTAATTGTTGAACAGAATTTATAAACGTACCACTCGCTTACTGTCCTCTGATTCTTCAACTTTAATGGAACTCTCGTCTGTACGTAACTCCAATTCGTCAGTTACTGGCTCGGTAAAGAGCTTGATTGTCTGTGGTTTTTTGGACTGTAGATCGTGCTTTTGTTGATTCTGCTGATGTTGCGCTTTATGGGAGACGCGTATTTTGCGATGAGTATCGTAAGTGCCGTCTTCGTTTGGCATTAGTTTGTACTTCGTATCGATTTGCAATTCGCTCTGCTTGCTATTGGTTTTAGTGTTATTGGTGTTGTTGTTTTCTTGTTTCACAGTCACGGTCTCAACAAGTTTATTTTCACTCGTCGTCGCGTCTGCGATCTTCACATTTCCATTTAACCTACCATCAAGGACAGCATTAGCTTGTTCGCCAGCTTCCTCTTCTTCACCCGAGTCTTTGGGCTCCATTTTTATATTGATTGCCTCCTCTTCGCTACTTTCAGTCTTAATTTTGTTAAAGTAGCTACCTATGGTCGTCTGCCTGACATTCTCCTCTTTGAAGCTTTTACGTTCACGCAACGCTTTGGGCACCTCTTTGAGCGCATTAGGCCTTTGTGCTTCCAATTCCTGCAGCTTGCGTTCAAAGTACGCCACACTCCCGCCCGTCCAAGCTCCTTTCTCCGCCGTTTCAGGACGTGGCACGTAATCGGCTATGAGTGGCATAAGCTGGCCTTTATTGCTAAGCTGTTTTATTATGGATAGCTGCAAGGCAGAAACATATAATTATTATATATCATTTTGGATGGTGGATCTATTCGTCGACTCACCTGCTTGGCCAATGTGTGACGATAGATTGAGGCAACGCGCTGCTGCTTGAAAACCTCGTATTCCATATCGACAGCCATGGCCTCGTAATCTCGATGTCTTAATGCGCTGCGCGGTTGCTCGGTCTCAGCGCTTTTCACATTTGTCTTGAGCGCCTCGATAATGGTGCTCAGATACGTTTCACGCTGCTGATGCTGCAGACCCGCAATCTTATTGGTCGTGCTTTGCGCATGCTTGACACGAGCAATCTGCGTAGAGGTCTCCTGTTCCAATTGGCGTGCAGCGCTGATTTGTTTGCGCAGCTGAAATTGTTTGCGTATGAAATCTTCGCTTTCCTTTTTGGCCCGCTTGGCCATCTGTGCGTGACTGACGCCCGCATCACCATCTGAATCATCCTCGTCAGCGTAATCCTGGGCAACGCGTTTGCTACCTGCACGCCCGCCTGTTGATGAGAGAATACGAATAGTGTTAGGAAGAAACTCAATGGAAATAATCGTACAAGTCCTGGCACTTACCCTCATACAGATCGGCGCAATCTTCCAGCGACACATGCGATTTAAAGGTGGCATCCATGCACAAACGCTGAAACATATCAAGTGCTTTGGAGGCACGTTTGGGATCCTTGCAAATATCGCACTGGTTGACGCACTCAGGCGCCGGGTCGCCAAAGTAGTCAGCGAAGAGTTTGTGCCGGCAACGCAACGCTTCGCAAAAATCAACGATCTTTTCGAATTGCCGAATGGCTCTTTCTGTCAGCAGCTCCTTGTCGCCACGCCCACGTGCTCGATTCGCATCGTTTTGCAAGAGGAACCGTATGGACTTGACATCATCTCGCCCATAGTAGAGACGACAATAGGATTGCAGACCATCTCGTCCGGCACGTCCAGATTCCTGATAATAGGCCGCCACATTTTGCGGCACATCCCAGTGTATGACGAACCGGACGCTGGGCTTATCCACACCCATTCCAAAGCTATTAGTGGCACATATAATGGGCTGTTCGCCACGCATCCACGCCTCTTGGACCTGCGTGCGTTCGGCGGTCTTCAGTCCAGCATGGTACGCCACAGCACCAACGCCTTGCTTGCTAACGCCCATGGCCACGCGCTCGACATTCTCTCTGGTGCGACAATAAATGATGCCACAGCCACGCTTCGCCTTAGGAGTTTTCTGGAACTCCTGCTCATTGCCTAAACAATGCAACGCGAAAGCCGCCAAATGTTGGAAGTCATCCTCTATTGAGTTCTTGTACACAATGTCATAGTACAGATTCGGGCGGAAGCTGGGCGTTGTAAATTTTGCAATAGGCGGGCGTAGGTGCAGCTGTTTGTAAATGTCCTCGCGCACATCTCGGGATGCCGTCGCCGTCAGTGCCAGCCACACAATGTCCATGTACTTGGCCCGCAGCTCGCCCAACTTCAGGTAATCGGGCCGAAAGTCATGACCCCACTGGGAGACGCAGTGCGCCTCATCCACAGCAAAATATGCCACCTTGTTGTGCTGCACCAGCGTATGGAGCAAGTGCTGGAACGTTTTCGTTGCCGCCTGCTCGGGTGTGATGTAAAGAAAGCGTATGGTTGGTTTCACCGACTTTAGGTCCATGATGACATTGTCACGCTCCTTGGTGCTCATTTTCGAATTCAGTGAGTCGGCACGCACCTTCAACTTGGCCAAATGGTCGATCTGATCCTTGATGAGCGCCAACAGTGGCGAGAATACAATCGTGAGTTGATTCTCGCACATAAGGCCGGGGAGTTGGAAGCACAACGATTTACCCGATCCCGTAGGCATAGATACGTACACATCCTGTTTTTCTAAAAATCACCAGACCTTTGTATAGTAATATATATCGGGGAGACTGGTTCCAACTCACTTTTTAATGCACAGTTTACGGCACGCTCTTGTAACTCGGACTTAAAGCACTTGTGGCCAAAAAGTTTATGCAAAGCTTCGTATACTTTGCCGTTTGCCGTAGCTACATCGCCATCTGCCATTATATTTGGCTAAAATAAACAAAACAAAAACAAACTAACACATCATTTACAAGCACTAAACAAATGGCAAATGTGAAATGCGCATTTCGCAGACAATGCCGCCAAAACAGCTGGGCCAGGGCTGCACACATTCCCATTGGCACACCGCCAAGGAAAAGAATACCGAAGAGCGTTACAAAAAAGTCTGGTAGCACCACGAATTGCAAGCCAAAAATTATTATTGTTTTTATTTTCCACATTCTTTTTTTATTATTATTGTCAAATTAAAAAGAAATTTCTTTTACTGTTTTTAAAAATTGTAACCACCTACCTTACTCAAAATCATTTTGCTTTACAAATGATGAAAATAATGACCCTAATTGAAATTATATCGAAATGTGGAGCATATATTTTTTTTAATTATTTATTTATGTCAACAAATATTGACTGTCGACATAGGATATATTTCCACATTATAAAAACTTTTTATAAGCTAGAAAAGCCTAAGAAGGAGAAATCTAATCAAATTACAATAATATCTAATTAACGCCTCCGACCCGGTGGGGGAATATTATTTGTATCGGCTAGCTGTTTTATCATACGTTTCAAGTATAAAACCATAAAATTGGTATACTCTTATAGGTTTTACCTAGTTTCCAAACGAATCTAAATCATTTCAAAGCCACCTTTGAAAGTAAAGTTGTCAGTTATCGCTATGATACTTTATCTTGATGCAAACTTTCGTTCCAAAGACAATCTGCGCTTATAACATCAGTGAATGTACTACTAAAAAAATGAGTTAACATAGATCTTAGTAAAAACAAAGCTTAGTCAAGAAGTGGGAAAAAGTGGCAGCTTCGCAAAATACTGTCGGAATATTGGGTATTTTAATCGCTTAGTAGTGGTTGAACTTGTATTGTCGTATGAAATTATTATTATTTCTCATATCGTTTTCTATCCATACCGTATTTATGTGTATAAATAAAATCAATTTTGAAATATACTTAATTGGGTAGCATTGTGGTTATATTTTATCTCATAGGTGGCGCGTACGACACCTTAATTTCTACGTAGTCCGGCAGCCCTAGCCGCGCAACAGCTGCTTCAGTGTTCGTTTGATTCTTGAGGGAGAGCACATCGCTCATTGTTTACGTTTTGAGTTCGTGCCGTACGGACGTGTGCGCTTTGAATATTGGCGCGGACGGTACGATTTTTGTAGTTTTGTTGCGCTTCGCTTTGCTTCGGTTTCGTGTAGCTTGTGTATTGTGCGTCTAAGTGTTTGTGTGCGTGCGTGTGCGCTGCGTGCGTATAGCAATCGCAACGTGTGTGAGTGTGTGTGTTGGCTTGCACTACGCTTGGTGCCGTTATTTGTTGTTTTTTGGAAAACTTTTCTTAACTTGGCAAACAAAAAAATTATCTTTGGCAATTTACAAATAAAATGTAAATAGCAACAACACGCAAAGCATCCGGCAACGAAAATAAATAAACAAAACACCAGAATTATTAACAGCAGCAGCAAGTGCAATGCCGGCAACAACATAGCGGCTGAAATGCATTAGTATTCGTGTGTTTTTATGCGTGTGTGTGTGTGTGCGTCTGCCCAGAATATTTACCGTACGCCAAGCATAAATAGCAAAAACAAAGCAAAAACAACGACACAACTTAACAGCAGCAACCAAAAATAAAAGTTAAAAAAAGCCGGCAATCAGCCATTAAAAAGTCTGTGTGTGTGATAAGCCAAACGTATATTTTAGCGTTTTGCCAACCTTGTGTATACAAAAATGTTATCAAACGCTTGCAACATGCCGTCAGCAACAAAAAGAAAGCAACAGCACCTGCCCCGCAGAACAGCAGCAATTGCTGCTGCAGAAGCAAAAACAACAACAGCAACCCACCTTGTGATATTTATCAGCCTGCTGCTTCTTCTGCTGCCCACCACAGTGCTCGCCGAGGATGCCGCATTGTCGTCATCCTCATCCTCGTTATTGGCTGCGTCATCGCCCCACGTTGCCGCCTTAGCCGCACCTGGTTCCGGCGGCTTGAGCGCCTCCCCAGCGGGTGGTTCGTCCATTTTGGAAAAATTCACACCCAACTGCAGCGCCGTCGCGCACCTCTTTCAGGCACGCCACATCGATGCAGCGGACATACCACAAAAACCAAGCAACGGTAAGCACAAAGGAATGCTCTCATAAAGTGGCCTAAGAATTGGAGAACTTCTGTTTCTGAATTCTATTTGCATTCTTATTGCATGATTTTGACTCGAGCCCTTTTTTTGTTCCACAGTTTTAAGTTACAAAATATCGAAACTTTATTCCAATTGTGCGTATTGTAAGACTCAGTTGATGGCATCACTACATCCACCACATCTATCGTCCCACAAAAACAATTGTAGTGTTTAGATTTGTTAAATTTTTAAATTTGTTTTAATTATTTTATTATTTATAATAATCAACTATATGGGATTAGATAACAGCTTAATTTACGGCTGGAAACAGCTTTTTTAACAATTGAGTAACTCTTACGTGTAACTGGGCCATGAAGTAGCCAAAACTGTAGTCTAAAATAAAAATCAAAGAAGAAACATGTGTGTGAATCTTTAGAATATTTGATCCAAATCAATAATTTGGTTGGAAAATATTGTAAACTTGAATCAAACGTTTTCGAACTCCCCCTTTTCCACTCTCCGATTATTGACTTTAGGTTCTTCACATAATGATCAGAGAAGAAACATGTGTGTGAATCTTTAGAATATTTGATCCAAATCCATAATTTGGTTGGAAATTATTCTAAATTGTAATCAAATGTTTTCCCTTTTCCACTCTCCGATTATTGACTTTAGGTTCTTCACATAACTCAATCGTTTCGATTAGCATTTTGAGTCCTGATTCTTCTCATATACAAATATATCTGGGGATTGCTCAATTAGTTACGCTAAACTGTGGCAGCTAAATATAAAATCGAAATTTAATAACTTTGCAAAATCTCGGCAAACCGATAACAGCAGCAACAACAAAGGCAAAACAACTTCGTCTGTGTCCGAGCCAGCGGTCCGTGCGTCGTTCGTCCATCCGTCCTCCTGGGCATGATTCATGCGACGCCACTGGCCAAACATCGACGCCGACGCAGAGTGAAAAAGGGAAATAAAATTCCACGCAAATCAACTTTTTAAACTAAATAAGTTTACAGCAGGCCCCAAGCTGTTTTTGTTGCTGTTGTTGTTGTGGCTCTTCTTCTTCTGCTTCCAACGCTTCTTTGTTGGTGTTGTCCAGTCTGTATGGACGTTGGCGCATGCGTGGTCTGCGCCTCAAATCCCTGCCGACCTTTGTCTTCAGTGCGTTCCACAGACTCACACACCACAAAGACGAAGCTAAAGGGTACCAGTTTCAAGACCAGTCTGCAACAACAACAGCAACAGCAACAACATCGAGAGCAGCAACGAAATCTCAAGAAATTCCTTTGGATGTTCAGAAACAAAAAAAAAAAAAAAGAAAAGAAATCTCTTGCAGAGCAGATACAAAAATGTTGTCACACCACTTTAGCATTGGTCAGTAGTGTTGTTGTTGTTGTTGTGTTCCAGTGGAGGTTCTCCCTTCGAGACCTCCGAGCCCTAGTAGGCCTAGCAGCCGGCTTGGCAGCCTAGCAACCGGACAACCTGGCAGCCTGCCAGCCTGGCAGATTTAGTTAATTTGTATAAAGCCTGAATTAATCACGCTTAATTGCAATAACTTGGCCATGAGGCCTGCCTTGTGTCCATCGCCCGTTCTCTGTTCTCTGTTCTCCATCTACCTCGCTCTCTTGCTCTCCATTGCGCTGTCTGGCCACACTCTGCCCCTCGCACCCGCTTTGTTCGCCCAGGGAGTTTGGTTTTTACGTTTATTTGATTTGTTGTCAGGTAAACTGTTGCATCTCCGCCTGCCCTTCACCTCTACCTGCACAGTGCCTCTGGCCGGTCGGCCGCTCTCTGCTGCCTGCGCCTTGTTTATTTTTGGTTTTCAACGTTGCTTGATTGGTTTTTTTTCTTCTTTTTTTGTTGTTGTTGCTTCTTCTCTCCCATCTTCTCTTGCGCCTCTACTGCTTTATCTACTGCTGGACGGCAGTGCAGTGCACTGCATTCGTTCGTTCGTTCGTTCATAATTTCATGGAAATGCAACGCAGCGACAGGTAAACGCCTGGCCCAGACCCTTTGTTGTTGTTGTTGCTCTTTCTTCTGCCGTTGCTGTGTTGATATTAATCAAGGTGTCATTGAAATCGTTTAAATTATGCAGTGCAGGAGGACCTTGTCGGCGTTTTGTGTCTTTGTACAATATGCTCTGATTCTTTATTCTTGCCTTCTGCCATACTTAGCTTAGATAACCGATCATTCAGCCTCCTTTATGTATGCGAGTGTGTGTGTGTCTGTTACAAATGAGTCATAAATTTTGTTGTTGGCCCGCAAGTGGTATCTGATAAGCGCCAGAGTTTAGATAAAAACCTCTTCCTCGATTACCGCCCATTGCCTTTCTCATTACTGTACAGAGGCTGGTCGTCTCGTATTGACACTTTTTTCTTAAACATTTAACTGAGGTAGGTAGGTATTACGTACATACATATGTATGTATGTATGTAGGTTAGTTGTGAGGCTGTGTGCACAATTGATAAGACGCCCCCTCCAACTGATAAGCGCATTGGCGTTGCGTCAGCATTATTAAGTAGACCGTTTGGTGCCTTCTTTATTTGCTAAAAATCGTAAATGAAAGTGCGCGTGTGTTCATACAGAAAATTAGCTACGAAGTAGAGCAATAGATAATGAAAGATTTGTCTGCAAAAATTGGGGAAACTCAATACACAATTCAAAGAATTTATTTATGTTTTATGCAAAAAATATAAACTATGCTTTAAGGCTTACAAAAATAAGAAACAAGGAATATGTGACAAATTTATGCCGCTATCGACTGTCTTGAACCTAATATCGATGTATTTACAATTATTCAACCTTCAGTCATTAAAGTGAAATACTTAAAAATACTTGATAATTGAAATAATTGTAGATAATTATGTAATACATAATTGTTTTATACTTTATACTATACTTTAATTATTAAAGTTTAATACTTCCTTTCAAACTAAAAATAGCTTACAGAAATACTTGTAGATAATTATGTTATACATAATTGTTTTTTGTTCTCAAATACTTTCAAATACTTACTTAAATACTTTCTTTCAAACTAAAGAAACAATGATAGTTATAATATTCCTAACAACACTTCGTAAATCAATTTCTACATTATTCTAATCAAATTCTATATAAGCGAAAGTATATCTTTGCCGTAATTGCACAGAATTCTTGTATAATTTCTCACATTTTGAAGGCCCTACAACCGATCTTCATCTAAATTTTGCACTTTCCTGGTCTCTGGCTATCGCATTCCATGCCGTTTGCCGCTTCATTCATGAGCCAATCACACGAATAACACAACAGCAACTTACAACAAAATTGCTGCACACACACACACACACACACAAACACATACACGTACACCTCGGGTCTGCCAAAATCATTGTTGCTGCCACAGCACACTAAACAGCAGGCCAGCAACAACTACAAGTACAACAACAACTGCAACTGCCACTTAAACGCTTCATTAAAGTTGCACTTCCTGCCAAGGCAACAACATCAAAAAGCTTTGTGCCAACTTCTTCGCTTCCTCCCTCGCTCCCTCCATATCCCTATCCCTTCCTCTCTTGCTCTGTACCGTCACTTAGTTCAAATTGTTTGCACAATTTAAGCAGTTCACAAAACATTAAATCGTTAAAAATAATTCCAGAGACGGCGAGCAGCCCAAGAGCCCAACTAAAAATCTTCACTTGCTCTCACACTCGCACTCACGTTTACGTTCACGTTCACGCTCAGGCTTAGGCTCACGGGCCCGTGCAACATTCTCACAGTCTTCGGCGTTGTGGTAGTCGGCTATAGTCGCTGGCGAGGCAAAAATAAAAATCAAACAGTCGGCTACCTTTGCACACGGCTAAAGAAATTTACAGCGCCGCTGATGCTCCGATGCTCCACTTAAGCGGCAGCGGATGCAGTCGCAGCCAACTTTAGTTGGATGCCGTCGCAGTCGCAGCCGCCGTCGTCGCCAGGGCCGGGCTGCATGACTATTAATCATTTTCCAGCGACCAAAACTAAATGGCCAAGTTCAGATAGCTCCAAACTACCTTAGAGTTTGTATATCTCCGTGTCTGTGTAGTGTCCATGTCTGCTTCTCTCTCTCTCTCTCTCTCTCTCTCTCTGTGTACCCATTGGCTTTTTGGCCCTTTCTGCATTGTTCATGTCGTCGCATCGGACAGTCGCACATTCTTCAGCTGTGTCGGCGTGCATATATGGCACTATATCATATGACTTTGCAGTTGCAGAAATGCAGAGCTTATTGTTGCCATTGTCTCGCGATTCCGAAGCAACAGCAAACTATATTCTTTAAGTTGTATTTATTAATGTGCTTGTGGGTCAACTCAACTGCTTTGTCGGAGGGGTAATGCTTCCAAAAATGTGTAGAATTATATAGCGTGATGAATAAAATATCATATACCTAATATCAGGTAGAGCGTTACTTCTGAATTTTATTGATATAGTTTTAAACGAAATAGCAAAATATCTTTAGACACTTAAAAGCTGAATCTAAAAACGACCAATTTTCTCAAAACACAAAGACCTTTTAGAAATCAACTAATTCAAAAATAGATGTCCTGGTTTTGTGAAAATTTTAAAAATTTACTGAGCTGTTCTAGATCTCATTTCGGGCAATTCGATCGAACTAATTTTGAGTGAATGAGTCACATTTTGAACTCAAAAGAATTCGTTCTCTTTGTACATAATCTAAAAAAATGGATCAACTATAGCTTTTATACAGAGTAATTATATAGAAAGTGAGTTTCAAAGAATATCTTTTGATAACACATTTTTCCTTAAAATAAAAGGAAACTTGGCTTTATTCATAATATTTTTATCGACTCAATACTGGTATGTGTGTTACATTCATCGCCACAAAACTAATATACTCTTTCACAGGCAGATTAGTGTAGTGAAATATCTTTATGCGTAGCACTAATGATGGTGCGGGAGTAAAACATTTAAAAAGTTCAACAAGAGTTGAAACTTTGCTTTTATGATTTAGGTTTGTGCCATTACT